CACGCTCAGCTCCGCTCAGCTCCGCTCCGCCCGCAGCTATGTCACCCACCTGATGAAGCGCATCCAGAGGGGGCCCGTCAGAGGCATCTCCATCAAGCTGCAGGAGGAGGAGAGGGAGAGGAGGGATAACTACGTCCCGGAGGTGAGCGTTGGCCGGCGCTCGAGAGCGCCCTTGGGCGCACACGGAGACTGCTGCGCCTGCCCGTCCCACTGCTTGTCGCTCCATGAGGAGCCCATCCTTAAAAAACACCCGGATAGCGTATTTTCCTTACCAGTCTCTTAGCTCCTTTAAAACCTCTGCTACAGCTGGGCACGAGGGAGGATTTGGGCCGAATGGGACCATAGAGCCGGATTTTGGCCTTGTATCTGAGGCACTCCCAGCTTTTCCTCGAGAAATTTTGCAGTGTGGGTTGGCGAGAGCAGCTTGACCTCTTCCGTGTTGATGCTGCTGACGTTTTACAGGGGGGTGGAGATAAGCCATGTTCAACTTTCCTAACTTAAAATGAGGAAAAAATAACAACATTAGGCAGAATAATGGCTTAAAAATTAGTGTACAGCAGATGTCACTGAAAGGAGGTGGTGGTTAAAGATCTGCCAGCTGCTCCAGGTTCATAAAACAGCAGCAGGAGGCAGCACTCGAAAAGGGAGGCCCAGGGAGCGGCGCGTTGCTTCTCGATGCTGTGCGGAAGCGCCAGCGCGAGCCCTTCGCCTTGAACCTGCATTCGAAAGTGATTAAGGTCTGGTGTGTGACCTGGTCATTGATAGTGCAGGAAGAGGAACCCTGAAAGCGTTTCCCGTGTTTGGTGGGTTTGCTACCATCCCTCCCAAACCCTGTAGCTTTCAGACACGCTGCTGCCGCCCGCCCTCCACTTCCCTCTGGTCGGCTTCGGATAAAGCCGCTGTTTTCTGCGCAAGATGGGAAGAAATGGCCGGTCCCGAGCTCTGCTCTTCAGCCCTTGAAAATCACTGGTGCTGGGGGCTGGCTCTGTGGCAGCTTGTTTCAGCGATGATCAAATCCTGGCTCTGGGAAGAGCAGTTAGGATGCTGGGAATGCTGCAGGAGCCTTGGGAGGTGCTTTGAGGTCGCCCTCACTGCTCTGTCTTGATTGTGCTGAGCCAGGATGGAGTAAAGCTGCTCCCCAGGGAGCGGGCGATGCCATGGGCTGGAGCTGCTGGCTCCTGGTGCCTTCCGCAAGCTCCCGAGGAAGCAGTTTTGTCTGATGCCCCGGTGGCCTGGGCTGTGTTTGCGGGGGTCTTGCGGGCTCGCGCGGCAGCTGCAGCTCTTGGGGTGGGGATGGGGACGGGTGGCAGCACCTCCAGGGCTCTGGGACCCGGTTCTGCTCTGTGCGACACTTCCATCTCCCTGCCGTCCCCAGGTCTCCGCGCTCGACCAGGAGATCATTGAGGTGGACCCTGACACCAAGGAGATGCTGAAGCTTCTGGTGAGTGGAGCCACCCTCCCACAGGCTTTGCCTTGGGCAGCCCTGCCGAGGCTGCCCGTGGTGCCTGTCTGTGACGTGCGTGCAGCAAGGAGCTCGATAACGTAGGCTGAAGACAGGAATGTTCCAGACAAGAGCCCGGGCTGGGTAGTTGGTCTCTGCGCTCAAAGGCAACAAGGAGGCCGAGCGCCGTTGGCTTCAGCGGGCCGGTGAACCTTCCATCTGGGGCTTGAAACGCTGGAAGAGAGGGGACACTTGTGTCCCCTTTGCATCAGAAACCTGCCGTGTTTCATGAGAAACCGCATGCAGCACTGTGTCCCGAAGATGTGGATCCTCCTTCCCTTCCTGCTCCTCCTGGGCACGGCCGGGGCAGGCGGTGCTGAGTGACCCTTCTTGTTCTGTCTTCCAGGACTTCGGCAGCCTGTCCAACCTGCAGGTCACACAGCCCACGGTGGGGATGAACTTCAAAACACCCCGAGGAGCCCTCTGAGGCCGTCGCTCTATGTCACTTTTTTTCCAATAAACCAGTAGGAAACCACTTGGGCCTGCTTGTTCTTTCCCACTTGGGCCTGCTGGTTCATTCCCAGCCTGTTTCCACGTGGATGGAGAGGGGTGGGCTGATCCTTGTGGGCTGCTGGCTGCCTGGGACGGCTCTCCAAGCCTTTGAGGCGGGGAGATTTTCCAGGCTTTCCCGTGCCCTCCGAGTGGTGCTGGAGCAGCCACGAGAGGGCGAGCGCGGTGTCTCCATGGAGCCAACCTCCAGCGCAGAGCACCCGGTGCTCCGAGAGGGTGCTGGGTCCCCCGGGTGTGCGGGGCGATTTCTCCTTCCTCCCCTCCCTTTTCTAATCGGCCTTGGCCCTTATGCAAGGAGTCAGTGACACTTCCATGCATCCCAAAACTTACTGTTCACAGACACAGGATAATCAACTTACAAATAAGTCAACAAATAGAAGTAAGGCAGCAAAGGCTTTGTGGTTTTTTGAGATCTCGGTCTTTATTTAAGTTCCCTGTGGAAATTATTTCAAATACTAAGGAAGAAAACCTTTACAGCAAGTGGAGACAGGTATGTAAATATACATTAAGGCTAAGCCAAACAGGGATCATTCCTAAATCCCCAAGTGCTCCAGAGATTTAATGTGGAATTTCTAGGTCAATACCACCAATCTCTTCACTATCTAACCAAAACACAGTAAGTGCATAGCCCGAGAGCTAAAATAACCACCAATCCGAAGAACAGAGAGAACAAATAGGTACCTGAAAGTCTAACTGGGTTGTTACTAAATGGATTGGAGCTCTATGTGCCCGGGAACGTTCCGGCAGAGCTGAATCGAGTTTTTGTTAGGAACGAGCTGCCTGGTACGTGGCATCTTCTCTTATTTTTCGCACCAGAGCGAATGTTGGTGTCATTCTGGATCCAGTAGGCCGTGTACCCCGAGGCGCCGGGAGTGAAATCGCGGAGCTCCCCGGTGTATTTCTTCATGTTGCGCGCAGAGGGGTAGCCTGCAAGCACGAAGCGCGAGTATCATCCTGGGAAGTCCAGGCTGCTCTTGGCAGACAAAACAAGAGCTGCAGGGGCGGGGGAAAAAGTGCTGTGGAGAGGGAGTGACTGCAGTGTGAACGGCCGTGCCGGGTTTTGCTCTGCAAGTTTTTAAGGGTGGAGATGGATTTCAGATAGCACCCACCAAAAATAAGATTCTAAGATGGACTAGCCAGAAAGTTTTAACTACAGCAACCTATTGCTGCAGCACCACTCTGCATATTCACCTACACTGCAGAAATTAAGGGGACAAGCAGTGCGGAGGTATCAAAACCAGGACTGTTACAGCTGTTAAATGAAGCCTATTGCCATTTTTGAGTCTGGGTTGAATATGGGCCCTACTTCATCAGCATCCCCTGTCGTTTTGGGGCATATTTTCTACTTTTAAATGCGTACCCGTTCTAAACTTTACCTGTCACCATGTTATTCACCGGGTATTCCCGAAGTGTGTGGTATGCGAATTCCTCCCGCTTTGTTTCTCTTGAAGCTGTTTTTCCTTCACGGCTATTTTGGGGGAGAAAAGCTGGATGCGTCACTTCCCGCTGCGCGCGGTTCCCGACCACGGAGGACAAGGAAAATACCTTTCAGGCGGATCTAGTGCATCTTCCACCTCCTGCTCGCTGTTTTTCCTCCCTGTCTCTGGTTCCTCAAGTCGACTTTTGCTGCACTGTGTCTATCAACAGAGTTAAATCAAGCCTGTGCGCCCGGTGCCTCCACGCAGTTTGCCAAGACAGCAAAGGCATGTTTGTGGCACAGCAGGGACATCGTCTTTACACATTTCAGGGGGTCCTGAGGTGATTTGATTCAAATGATTTTTTCTTTTTTATGGTCAGCACCACCTCTATGTACTTCTCATCTTACCTTTTCCGTAAGGGATTCATCCATCTGCTCCCAAATAAAACTACCGATTTTCCTTCTGATTTCTGCCATGAACAAAAGCAAATGAATATAAAAGCACTAGTGATACTGTCTAGTCACTGTCTAAGCAAACCCCTACCTGCAGAGGTAGTCACTAATGCACTCAGGAACATTGGTAGAAGCTCTCTGAATGGCATTGCTCACTTAGGCAATATAATAAACTAGGCATTAATTTCTTTATCCCCAGCAGGAGATTATCCCCCCACAGCAGCTATAACTGGAGCCTGATGTTATCATGACATCCCCCAAAATGTCCGTGTTTATGAGGAATAATACAGCACAGAGCAAAAGCCAGCTCTTTACCCTAACCTTCTTGCAAGCAAGCAGGTGGCAGAATGAAGTGACCCAGAACTACCGACTGTTTCATTTCCGAGCTGGTATTTGCCCATGCAGAGAGATAACAAGAATGAAAAACCGTCGCTCTACCGTCCAAGTAATCTTGGCTCTCATGTATTCTGGAAGAGAGGGAAAAAAATAAAAAGGACATCTGGTTTCTAAAGGTAAGCCTGAAAAAAAAAAAAGGCAAAACATAATTATCTTGGGCAGTGATTAATCTGGAAGGACAAGGCTAGCTGGCAGCTTCAGCTAAGGCATGATGATGTCTGCCCTTTAGTACCTAAAGAAACGCTGTTATTTTCTAGCTCTGAGGCTCATCACGAATACGAGGTTCAGCTCCCAGCTGCCTGGCACGGGTTTAACACGGCCTGGAGTACGAACCCCGGGACCAGGTAAGTGCTGTTCTGCAATCCCCTGTCCGGATGTTTTGGAGCTTGGGGGAATATTGAAATATTTAATATTTAAAATTTTGCATAGCCATAGAAAAGGCTTCTGCCCCTCAAGTGGCAGCCTATACCTCACAGCCCAGCAGGATGGACAAGGGATTTTGTGGCTGATAGAAAATCATTATTCGAGGATCCTTTGGGTTCCCTTACCGTGGTCAGCACTGGTGATGACTGAAGGATTATAAAATCTAAGCCAACACTAAGCCATAATGTGTTGAGCCACCTGCTTATTCCAGTCTATAGGAGATCGGGTGCAGGGCAGCAGGAGGAACTTGCACACTATCGTTCCCACCAATGCATCCGCACGATATTAAATGTATACAAATAGCAGGGGAAGAGCTCATATAATTTTTAGTTTGCTACTCTCCTGCAAAACATCACGTTTTAATCAAAAAAGCAGAAAAAAAGCAACAATTTAGCCCTTTTCCAGTTGGTATATAGACTTTTTTGTTAAATCTTAATTTTTATAAGAGTTAATTTGGGGGGAGGTGGGGGTGCTTCCTTATTTACACTGTGGCTGCAGGGGGGGGACATCAGCTCAGTATTTAGCCTCCCCCCGGCCAGGTATTTTATTGGGTTTGTTCAAAGTTGGTCAAAAGGTGGAAACGGCAGGATTAAGCTCCTGCATCAAAAGGGCTGCGGTGCGCTCAGGCGCTCGGCCCTGCGCAGAGGGCCGGCCCCAAGGTTAAGGACAGCGGGATGGTGGCGGTGGTGGCAGCGGCGCTTCCTCCCGCGCACAGTTTTATCAGCGCCGTCTTGCTCCGCTTCCCACGCCGAACCGCCGGTGCGTTGGCTCCGATCGGCTGAATTTTTCCTGCCATTTCATGTTTTGTCTGTGAAGCTCTGAGCGGAGGTACTGGAATTAGCGCTGGCTCGGGCTGCACGTGGCAGAAACCCCCCACCCCAGACCGCGGTAGGATTTGAACAAACATCACCCTGGTTTTTAGTGGATGTAAAAAGAAAAGGTTTTAAAAATGCTGTGAAGGGGCAGGGGGGA